CTCCCCTTCGTCAGGCAGCTGGAGAGCCGAAACCAGCGCTACCCCTGCTTCCTCAACACCTTGCACGTCGGAGGTCAGACACTGCCTGAGCCACCCACCCACCCCGGTGCTGGGGGCGGAGGCTCTGGTGCCTGGGGTGGGATGCCGTGGAGTTTAATCGTACTCCCCCCGCCTGCTAAACTGGAAGAATCCCATCTCACTGCTGTGGGTGCCATAGACACATCTTGCGTGTCACTGACTTTGCTGATCTATGTAAGAAACAGGCAGCAGCAGCCCTTTGCTGAGACCCTCATTCATTCTGCTTGAATCCTCAGCACACTTAACACAAAATAAGAGCAGCAAATACTGTGTTACATTTTCTTTTAAAAATACTTTTAAAAATTATAGTCCATGTCCTGGAAATTAACCACTTGGGGAAAGAACAGGCACTACACATTAGAAATTACTACTCCACCCCCTAATCTCAGCAGCGGGGAAGTGAAGTCTACAGCCCCGTCTTAGCACTTGCATTAATGAAGTTGTTGCCTAGGGCATTTGTCACCTGGTACAGTGATCTTCAGAAAAATGCACTTGCAGCTCTGAAACACTGGGGTTTGTAGATTGTTGTGTGCTGTTCTTGTGACTCCTATAGGTACCATAAGAACATGTCAGAAGTTTCTCATTCAGTACAATAGAAGACAGCTGCTGCTGTTGTTGCAAAACTGTACAAATGAAGGTGAGTTCCTCCAGCTGCTTCCCTAAAATGTAGCCTCAGTTCTTGGGGGTTTTGTAGGATATGCTGGACTACTTCTGAGTTCTTGAACTGAGAAACGTTCCTTTCCTTAGAAGGTGAGGATATTGCAGCATACGTGATGAGATCAGGTAATGACCCTGTGTTGCTCTCGATTGCAGAGGAAAGACAGTGTATACAGAAGTCGTTGCTGAGCTGTTCCCTTACAGAAGAGGGGTCTCAAAGTGGAGATGAGGAAGATGATGATGGCACAGAGACAGACTGAACATACTTGTCTTCTGTCCTGTATTTGTATGATCAAGAACTGTTACCAGTTATCTTCGGTGTTCAGCAAAACAAGACAGAAAAAGCACCTGTTCATACATATTTAGACTTCACTCCCCCCTTTTAAGTGTTCTTAAATAAATTTTTTTAAAAAGGAAACACACTTAAATGTGGTACTTGTCTGTTTCACTGCAGGAGTCAAAAGCACCTGCACTCCTAAGGAGTGTAGTGGCTCGGTGTGATCTTTGTGCTGAGGCAGAAGTGAGCTTTAGGCAGTTGGCAGGGACAAGGAATGTAGTTTTTCTCCTTCAGTACAGAAAAAGCATTAACATCCTCCTATTTTTTACCTTATCCTCGAATGCACCTGTTACCCACAGGGCTATCCGTTCTTCCGAGTCACAAAAGCACCAGTTGTGATCTCTGCTCCTCCATACACAGGGAATGCAAGGTAGAGCGCTAAGGCTCAGCTCCATCTGACCACTATAAAACTCGTGGGTACAAGTACTGCTTAGATATTTATTAAGTTTACACCAATCGGTTACAGGAAAGTATCGTTGCTGGTATTCTCCCTTGGATCCATCAGAAAACAAGATACACCTTGAAGATGCTGTCCTGTGGAGACTGCCCCTGCAGAAGGGACAGTCTTCCTTGCCCATACCCCTTACTTGTTCTAATGCCTGGGAGACGTGGAGGTGAGGTGCACCAGCTCCAGCTATTCTCTCTTCCCAGTGCAAAGAAAAGTTGACCATAAATGTGTAGAGATAATAGAACACAACAGATACTGGTTAGACATTAAGTAGTTACGCCTGTTCCATGGCTTAAAATAACTATTATATGTAGGAAACTAGTACTGTGAACAGTGTTAACTGCATACTTGAATCTTTCTTACTTAGTTGCTTTCTCTACCCTCACCCATAGTTTTCACCAGTGCACGTAAAGCATTAACAGCAAGATGTGTTAGCACTTTCAGGCATGTTGTCTCAGTTTCTTTGCCCTCTTGACAAGCTGTGCTGTCTTTCCATCACGTGTAGTTAATTGTGACCAAGCGTGAATTCAAGCTGCTTGCAAAGAACGTCTTGCAAGCGTTTCCTCCATCCTCCTGTAATAGCTGAAGTGTTCTTTACACCCCATCCCTCCCCCTTCTTTCTGGTTTACAGCCACACAGTTTTGTGAAGCATCATCCTCTTTGGTACAAGCTCCCCGTAGGCACATGCTGAAGTGCCTCCGGGAAGCATCTGCGCCACACGCAGCCTACTGTGCTGAAATCGAGCATCGGCGCCCAGACTAACTGCTCGAACAGGGACACAGCCAGGGAACGCGCCAGCGGTGTTACAGCACCTGACTGCAGACCTCTCAAGCACACCCTTCCTCGCTCAGACCAGGCGCCGCGTCAGAGGGAGAGCACATCACTGCTCAAAGCCTGTGCAAGCGCAGGCAGACCGCCGGTGCAGCGACAGAAGACACCCGTCGGTCTCGCACTGTGAGCGAGGTGGTGCTTCATGCCAGCTCCCTGGCATGAAATCTGTCAGGAGGAAGGCAAGACTTGAATCTGTGCAACTGAGTGGTGGTGCACTCCACGCTGCTGTGACACGTCAGTGTCACGCTCGGGAAGGGTGCAGTACTGTGTGCGTGCATGTGACTTATTGCGACTGTTGGCCTCGACTGGTACGTTCAACCTACAGTTCATTTTATTCACCAAAACCCACACCACTTAACTCACGAGTCCAAATCAAACCACGAGCAGCGCAGAACGTGACCGCCCAAAGAAAGCGCGGGGAGGGGTCCAGAAGAGGCATGTCTATAGCCCGAGGTGCCTAGTGCAGCTCAGCTTACATCCCAGAACCAAGCAGATACAGGCCCTTATCCCAGTACAAGGTACCCCAGTTTCTTGCTGGGGGATAAAAGTTATCCACAGACTCCAGCTATCAGTTGTTCTTCCAATTCAAGAGCAGCCAGTGTCAAAACATTCCGGTAGTTACCAAGAGCCCTAGGGTGGAGTGTTCTAGATGATCGGGTTACAGTGTGTAGCCCATGGTTGGCAATAAAAAAAAAAAAAAATTAGCAGCCTCACTCACCCACATTAAAACAGAGTTGAACAACTGAGAGAAGCCAGGAGGTTCCTTCTACCACTAGTGCCAGTACGCATTTTGAAATACACAGATTCATCGAGCGTCACTTCAAAACCAAGTAGCCAAGTTCAGCTTTACACTCACCTCAGCTTCCCAAGCCAGGAGAACAGGAGGAATTCTTGCTCTTTAGAAAACTAACAGATACAGCAGCTAACACTCTAAAGCTTTTGCCCACTTCCAGTGCAGTGGAAACCAGATTCTCAAGAGAGCACTTTGACAGCTTTACTGAAACAGCACTACTGTGTCACGGTCAGGTGGACTTCTGCCCATCAATACTTCCAGGTAAAGAAAGTCTCTCTGCCTCCCCACTCAGGGAATATTGCAGGGTTCTGGCAGTGCCACACAGCTGTACGGACTCTCATACTG